CCCTTTGAGAGGCAGCATTTAAGCACTAGGAGATACCCGGGTGAACCTGGGGAATGAGCATCCTGGCCGAGGGCAGGGCAAAAGCCGCGTGGCTGGGGTGAAACAGGGAGGAGGGGCAGTCACAGAGAGAGAAGACGTCTGAGAAATGACAGGGGACAGATCATACAGAGAATTGTAAGCTGTTGAGATATGGGATGGAAAGCTATTACAGAGTTTTATTTAAAGCATTAATGTGATATGGCTTACAGTTTTTTTTATTGAGATGTAATTCACATATCATAAAACTCACCCTTTGAAAGGGCACAATTCAGTGGTTTTTAGTATAGTCACAAGGTTGTGCAACCACTTCTAACTCCAGAACATTTTCGTAACTACAAAAAGAAGCCCTCGACCCCTAAGCAGTCACTCCCCTTTCCCATGCCCCTCTCCGGCTCTGGCAACCACTATCTACTTTCTCTATGGGTTTGCTTATGGTAGTCACTTCATATATATGGAATCATAATATGTGTGGCCTTTTGTATCTGACTTACTTTTTACCTGGATCTCTCTGACTGCTGTGATAAGAACATGCTGGAAGGAGGCAAAGTCAGAAGCAGGGAGACCGGTGAAGAGATCAATGCAGTAATTCAACTGAGAGATGAAAAGAGTCTGAAATAGGATGGGAAGTGAGATGGTAAATAACGGCTGGATCTTGAGTCATTTAGACAGGCTGGATATTGAGAATGAGAAAAAGAAAAGGAAAAGACAACTCTTTGGCTTTTGTCTCCATTCTTAAAAAGATGGGGCTGACACCTACTTAGGGTGCAAGGCTACTGGGGGTTGCAGACTGAGAGGAAACCACAGGGGCATGTTTTTAGAGATGTTAATTAAATCTGGGATGATGATGAGCCTTCTGTGTCAAGATGCCAAAGAGAGAGATGAATATGAGTCTGGAATTCAAAGGACACATCTGGGCTAGAGACAGAAATGTAGAAGTTTGAGAGTGGGAGACATTAATATCATGAAACTAAATAACATCATCAAGGACATGAGTGATTAGAGAAAAGAGAAGAAACACAGAGAAAGAGTCTGTGGACATGTCAATATTTATATGTCAGAGAGATGAAAAAGAATGAACACAAAAGACTAAGAAGAAAACACAAATAAGGTGAGAAGACCAAGAGAGAAAAGAGTCTTAAAAATCAAATGAACACACTTATCACGGCAGAGGGCATTGTCCACTCTGCCCAATACTGCTGACAGATCACTGAAAATTAGCCACTGGATTTAGGAACACACCAGGCAGTCATTCAGAGTCCATGTATTTTCTTTCCCTCCATCTTGTTCAGTCCACTCCAGCCATATCTACCCTTGCATCTGCCATTTCATCTGCTAGGTGTGTGCTTTCCCCAGATACGGCTATGAAATAGTCTGAGTGGAGTGAGGAAGTCACAAGTCTGACTGGAGTGGGTTCAAGAGACAGTGGTAGAAAAAGAAGTGAAGTCAGCAGCAATTCTTTTGAGAAGTTTAGTTGTAAGGAGATGAAGAAAAACAGCTGTAAATAGAAGGTAGTGTAAAAGAGAGAGCTTTAAAATGGGAGACATAAAGACATGATCGTGTGCTGGTGGGACAAATCAGTAGAAAGGGAAGAAAATTATGCCAGAAGGAACTCAGAATGGCTGAGATAGGGGACAGAATTAAACACATATCATCTGCTCATCAGATAGTCAACAATTAAAACATAAACCATCTACTCATGTAGGAAAAACAAATAAGGACAAGTTATTTTTTTCCAGAGACACCGAAACCACTTAAAGTGATCTGGATCCATTCTTCAAGGCTAAAGTTATTGGATTAATTGTACACACAGGGTCAGATTCAGGCTTCGGCTCTAGGCTTAAGAGTCATAAGATCCAAGTTCAAGGACCATGATAAGTTACAGTGTTCCAGAAACTTCTTTTGACCTCCCTCTTATGCTCACAGAATACTTATTAAGAGCAGCCTGTCCCTCTACCTTGTATAATTGATATGATGATCAAATAAAACATGTCCCTGTGAGGTATGTTCAGTGCTACTAGAGGAGGAACAACTGCACACCCCCGAGTCTCACTCCAACACTCTGCACTCCAGTTCCAAGAAGGGGAGAAGGCAAAATGAAAAACTGGGGGAAGAACAAATAAAGCATCAAGAAGTAGAAGCTTTCTGGTTATATATTTGAAACACATTCAATAAGCTGGATATGCATTATGCCTTAATTTTCACTTTATTAAAAAAATTCAACAACCAAAAACCCTCTGGTTTAGATTCAGCTGAACCTGGGGCAAAAAAAAAAAACAAAAACAAAAGAAGTACACTAAATTTGACTGTAGATGTGAAGCAAGATCATGCTTAAATAAAGATGTGACTTAATACCATCCCAGGAATCTCTTTTATTCTCCATGCTACCTGCCCCACCTACCAAGTGAAAGGGAACGTGTTAGCTGCTCAGCTGTATCCGACTCTTTGTGACCCCATGGACTGTAGCTCTCCAGGCTCCTCTGTTCACGGAATATTCCAGGCAGGAACACTGGAGGGGGCTGCCATTTCCTTTTCCATGGGATCTTCCTGACTCAAGGATTGAACCCTCATCTCTTGCATTGCGGGCAAATTCTTTACCATCTGAGTCATCCACCTGCCAAGATCATGTTAAATAAAAAGACTATGTGCTCCTCGACATTTCGTCAAATAGATATTAGCAGGTGTTTTGATTAATTTTTATCTGTTAATTAATTTTTAATTCTGCCTGCTTTGTGTATGGATCACAGCTCTCTTTAAGGAAAATATTCCTTACAGGGTATTTTGATCTAGCCATAAATTTTTCATTAATTATTTATTTCTTCAAGTAAACTAAAACACAAAGGTGTGTGTTCATTTTTTCAAGTGAAAAAATCTACCTTTATCAAAGAACGATTAACATGAAGAATTCTGATATGGAATTTACAATAAATGCCAAAGTTGAACTGACCTTATTACTCAGCGCCCCCTCACATTTGATCAGAAAACTAAAGAACTCAGCTAGCCATGGGACCTCACAAGCCTTTAAAGTGTGAAAGACAGAATATATGAGAAAATACACACACACACACCTGTATGTATATGTGCATGTATATATGTCTCTCTCCTTTAAAATATGTCTATATAATCATATACACCACTTGGCAGAGGAGTCGGAGTTTCCTTGTGGGGACTGCCCTGGTGGTTCCGTGGTTAAGAATCCACCTGGCAATGCAGAGGATGTGGATTTGATCCGGGCCTGGGAATTAAGATCCCATACGCCACAGAGCAATTCAGCCCATGCTGCAACTACAGAGCCTGTGTGCTCCAGGGTCTGTGCACCCCAACTGGAGAGCCCGGGTACTGCAACTTCTGAAGCCGCACGCCAGCTAGAGAATCTCTGCAGCATAAAGACTCAGCATGCTGCAAGGAAGACACCAAGTGATGCAACTAAGACCTGATGCAGCCAAATAAATATTTTTTAAAAAGAGCTTCTTTGCAAAATCAGTGTGTACACCTCCTGTATAATTAAGAGGAATAAGAACTTCTTTTTTCCAATTATAAAGATAACTTTGTATCTTTACATTTATGAATACCTGTATACCAGTAACTTAGATACTGATTCTCTAGTTAGAATTTCAACATCTCACTAAAATCCCTATGACTCTTTTTTACATAAAACAATTCACTTTGTAATGATGTAAATTACAGAGATTCTAGGAACAAATTATTCTGATGGGTAAGTGTATCTACCTCAAGCTCCAACTTAGTGACACACTCCAGCATTATTGAGGAAGAAATTATCTTAAGTAAGTGATTTTTTGGAATTAGCTTTTATCAAAGTATATTGCTTTCCAATGCTGTGTTAGTTTCTAGCTGTGCAGCAAAGTGAAGCAAAGTATAAAGCATTTCATACTTAAATAAATGATATAAAGTGATTTTTCTTTAAGTTAAAACCTATCGCTTAAGGGGCCCAAGTCATCTCAAGAATTGGTTTAGATTTGACTTTAAAGAAAGTTTTATCATAATACTATTATAGTATTATAATTATACAATTAAAAATGAATATAATGTCATAATTAACACTATTAAAATACTAACTCATCTCAATTACTTAGGGTCATCATTACAAATATGCAGTAATAAGCTACATTATAAGATCTTCATAAATTCAGAATTTGTTGCAGAATATGGATCCCTGTACCCTCATCCCAGGTAGATGCAGGCTACACTTTTTCTTAGATGACTCTGTCTGCCTCTTACAACTTTTCTGCCTTCCCTGCCTTGGCAGGAGGCCAGCAGTCATTTCTTGCTTCTATCAGTATGCCTGTAGCTAGCAGGCTCCCCTATTTTCATGCAGTTTTTTTCTTGATTCTCAAAAGTAGCAGTAGTAGAAAAAGCCATGGTCTCAAAGTGTGGTGGTTCTGCCACAGCCCAGCTGCAAGCCTTCAACAAACCACTGAACCACTTTAGGAATTCGTTTCCTTATCTACACAATTAGAGAACTGGACTGAATGATGGTTAAGTTCCATCCAACCATTAAACTTCATAATGAATGAATTTTTCTAAGAGCTAGGAAGTCCACCACCTAAGTTTATTAGAACTGTGTCCAAACAAAGAATAGAGAAACTCAGAGAAAGGACCTCAGAAGTTTCCATACTTCTGTGCATGGATCTTGGGCTTGCTAGGTCATGGACTTTTCAGTCTTCTAGGTTCTTTGTTTTATCTCCAGTAAGTGAGGTTTTGCATTGGATAAATCATGTCTGGACAAATGGGACAGAATTATATTAAGTGCTTTTGGAACAGAAAATTAAATATGACTCTTAAATATACTTCTTTCACATAAAAGGTAAGAATTGAGAAATTTTCAGAAATTCACAGAATTATTCCCTTATGAAAACTTTTGTTTCTAAGTGCATTTCCACTTGGTAAATGGAAACACATATAAACAAAATGCATGACACTACATGCATTAAAAAATGACTCACCTATAACTACATCATGCCCATCAACCAAGCCAGCAGAGAAGAGCTCCTGAGAAACGCCGTCTGCAGTATCTGCCCAAATGTGAAATGAAGGTGGATCAAAAACCACACAATAAATATTAACAATCAATAAAATTAACATGTAAAATATATATACTTTTCATTTAGAAAAACCATCCATTTCAACAATTCAGATTCTATCAGGAGGAAAAATCAGAAGCAATGTGAAATACATTTGCCACATACAATTTGCATCCTGTTCTTTGTTCAACAGAAGTTCTACAAAATTACTGTTTCATTTTTGGTGAGCCAAGAAACTTTTGCCTTTTGTCTCTCTATCTGAATTAGTCCTCAAATACACCTCTAGAAGTTAGCTCATAACTGGTCCCTATGACAATGCTTTTCTTTCTTGCCAAGGTTAATTCCAGCCACCATCAATCTTTTCCTATCATTAGTAGCTACTGAGTTAGAATTTATGGCAAAGGTTGAAGAGGCAGCATTTGATACAACCTTATATTTGGTACAAACAGCCTGTGAGCTTGTTGGACTATTAAGATGAGCTATTTAAATGAATGCTATTAAGAAAATCCTTTAACGTGACATTGATCATTCGATAGCAACAGACTCATTCTCTTAGAAAATGTGGTTGAATAAAAGAATGTAGCGTCTCAGTGATAATTGACAGGGGTTAGCAATCTCATAAAGATGAGATTGAACAGGCTGCAGCAAGTGAATATAACAGAGATTACTTTGAGAGGTAATACATGAGCATGACAATAGTGAGAAGTCTGTTTGAAGGCTTTGTGAAGGGAAATTGATAAATTGCCACGTGCTCAAAGAACCATTATGAATCTTGATGTTTTCACAAGGGAGACTACATGCTCTCCATGGCAGCCTTATATTATCACAAATATCCAGTATTAAGAGTTAGATAAGAAGAAACTGGGAAAGTATAGCTCCTGAATCAAGTAACCACCTAAACTGAACTACAGTTTGCTACGCCAAAGGCTGCCTTCATCAGAGAATGGGTTTCCCTGCTTAATCTGTGTTTCAAATGTGATGACTATGTAAGTGGGCTTGAGCATGTGCTGTGTATGTGTGTACTCATACTCAACGTGAGCACATAGCTCAAGGTACAATTACCTTTCACAGTGGGCTTTAATATGCTTAGCCTGGTGTCTAACTCATAGTAATTACTCAACAAATGGTAATTGTGATGATGATGAGGCAACCAGAGACCATCTGAAATGCACCTTCTTTCTCCCTCTCATACATGGCCCAATTTTCCAAATTGCTAACAAAACTGAGAGTTGATATATATGCTTTGTACTTTCAGAGAAACTGTGGTATTCTATCATTTTACTCATCTGATGAAATGGAATCAATGAAGGAAATGGAAAAGAAAAACAAAGGAATCTTACTAAACAATGAAATTCCATATAAGGTGGGCTTATCTTGAACCTTGTCCTCACTATTAGAAGTACAAGAAACACCATACAAAATTCTCTCAGAGATAAAATAATTGCATAGCATGAACCTTGCTGCTTAGTCGCTAAGTCGTGTCCGACTCTTTGCGACCCCATGGACTGCAGCCTGCCAGACTCCTCTGTCCATGGGATTTCCAGGCAAGAACACTGGAGTGAGTTGCCATTTCCTTCTCCAGGAGATCTTCCTGACCCCGGGATCAAGCCCGTGGCTCCTACATCGGCAGGCAGATTCTTTATTGCTGAGTCACCAGGAAGCCCATAGCATGAACCCAGGATAGCACAATACAAGGCTCTAGTCTGAATATGATGTAGCTTTATAAAGTCGGCTACAACATTCAGCCTCACAATCTCCATCTTCCTGGATGCCACTAGAAACTTCAGGAAAAGCAGCATATTGAATAAAAGTGCCTGCGCCTCATAGATACCAGGCATACAGTTGGCAGTGGTTACATGTTACTGACTATCTGTTAAAGCAACTGGATGTGATACCACCATCTCTAAAGTTACCAATAAGATCTTACACTTGAGTAAGGAGCTATAATCAAAGAAGTCAGATGAGAATGGAATAATCAAACAAAGCCACACTGAGGGCTAGCACTAAAGCAGTATTGAAGCAAAGAACATTCCCAAATTATTAAAGTGTGCGGCATCTCTGACTGTTTTCAGGACTGTTGGGTACTGAATGAGTCATATCAAAATAGCAAGTGGGTGGTGCTTGTTGGTCAAGAATGGAAATGTTCCTGGTTTGTGTGTGTGTGCCTTTCAGCAGTTATTTTCATGCATGTTAAGTAATATGTCAGTAATAGTTTAGAACAAAAACTTGAGGTAACTGATAATTTATTTTTCATTAAGCTGCCTATCATTCCTGATGCATAAACAGGTTAAACAATCATAAATAATCATGTATGCTCTGCTTTCTAGACCATTACAGCTACATAACAAACACAAAGGGATTGCCCTCAAATGAGGACAGAATATTTGATACGTTCACTTTATACATTTGATGCCAGGTATATTTATGTGTGTATATAGCAGAGACATAGTACCCATGGTATGCACGCACAGATGGAGTGCAAACAACATCTGAAATGCTTGACAGCATCAGTAATCACACAAGTGCAGTGATTCAACTGTGGTGTTTCTGAAACTATTAATAACGGGATGTGCTCGCTGCCCAGGGAGGGCCAGCTATCATTGGGAAGTCAGCACTGTGGTCTCTGTCTGGGCAACAAAAGCAGAGACTGAATCTAACCATGGCAAATGAGGCTGCTAAAGCCAGCACAAAGGGCCAGGTAATACAGACAGTGCTGTCTTATCCCCAGCAATCCTCAACTCAGAAATTCATTTCTTTGTTCCCTTTGAAAATAAAATTGATTTTTATTGCCACTGTCAATCTTAAACAATCAGATGAAAAAAAATACTGTTAAAATAAGAATCTGTTATTTTTATTCACTATACTTGAAACTCTTATTATATAATTGTTAGATTCTTATCACAGAATTGGCTGGTCAACATTTTTATATTATGCCGAAATAGCTTTTAGATAACAGCAACTGGCAGCAGTTCAATTTCACAGACCGACTCTAAACTGTCAAAGATTCTCCCCAGAAAGAAAGAGCAGTTAGGAAATTCACTAGGTCCTCATTTATGTTTCTTCTGTAAAAAGATATGTTGAATTCAAATATACTAGAAATTATCATGATGATTATTATTATTTTCTTGACTACACAGCATGGCACGCGGGGATCTTATTATCCCCCAACCAGGGATTGAACCTGTGCTTCCTGCCCTGGAAGCACAGAGTCTTAACCACTGGACCACCAGGGAAGTCCTCTGGAAACCATGACATCTTTGTGTTTACAGGAGACTAGAGATCAGGGCCACTGAGTCCATAACCACCTATGGCCCAGGAACGTTATTTTATTTGGTGGGCGGGGTTTGTTCAAAACTGAGCTGGAATGTACTTAGAACTCTCTGGTTCCCACAATTCACTTTGGCTCCTGTAAGCATTTGCGTTTGTGTCTTCTTACAGGTGGTAACAGCAAGGAGGTCAAGCCATTAACTGACTGACCAGCTATCAAGTCAGGAAAGTTTCAGGTTTTCAAAATTTTAGCACATGCAACTTCAACTTATTGAATCAAGTCAAATTTGACACGGAGTTCTCATACATAAAATAATTATAGCCTGTTATATGTTCAAATGTATGAGATCAATGAAATATCAAGGCTATTTTCATGTAAAAGTCTGAAACCAGAGGTCAAGGACAGTAACTGTTACAGTCATAGCATTAGCACCTGATTTTCACTTCTTCAGACTGTTCTGGTTATGAACTAAAGAGTGGAAATAGCAATTTTCATTCAACAACTAGTATTGTGATCTCTAAAGCCTGAATCCATTAATTAACCAAAAGGACTTGGGATTCTCCTGCATACCAGGTGCTTGCCAGGTGCTAGAGACACCGAGAAACAGGACGTGGTTCGAAGACGTCCATGCATCCCAGCACTAAAAGAACAACCAGTCTAGCCCTGACACTATTTCAGTAATTACTCAAAATGCTAAAATTACATTCAGCTGCCAGATTGGCATTGTTCCTACCAAGCCTCCTAGTGGTGCCTGTAGCCAAGTAGCAGCCCAGACACTGCTCAACAGTCTTCGTATAATCTGAACGGACAACAGAGAGGCCAAGTATGCTACCTTTTGGTCTGATGTCATGGTTTGTTGCTCAGCCGTAATTAGGACTGCTATGCTCATCTCATCACACTCATCATAATGTCCTTTAGGCCCTGCATCACCATGCCAGCACTTCTTTTCACGCTTGAGCTAACAGATTTAATTTATAGGTGTGTGTACTCTGTGTAGCACGTGTCATTAGAATTCATGCAATCAGTAGTAGCTTTGGTTTGGATTCTCTGCAATTACTACATTATCCTTCCTTCCTTTCTTCTTTCCTTCCTTCCCTCCTTTATTGTTAGAGAACACATTTTTGAATAGCAAATTATAACCACATGCTTATGATCAATTTCTGAAATGCTCTTTGTAGCAATAAAATAATAATTTCAATTGAAACTTACCTCTTCCTGGAGTAAACTCAAATCGTATGTCATTAAGTTCCTTCCTGGAGTTTCTGAAATTACATAACATATTAAAATCTAATGAAGCAGAGTTTAACCAAAATAAGTGTATTCTAATTTTTATAAGATGCTACTGACACACAGATAGCATTTAACAGTTTTAGGGTTACCTCTAATACTTCTTTAACTACAAGAGGCAGTTATGACAATAATAAAGGAAAGTATTTGTTTAATTGATCACATTTACCTTATACAAACATGATTATATCACAAAATTCTAAAAATAAATGTTCCTTTTACAACATCTACACTAAATCAGTAACCTTAAATTTAATTCTGTAATTAAAATTTTCAGAAGCTTTTAGTCTAGGATAAATAATATTCAATACAGTTTTCATATTTTCCTTGGAAAATAGCATTTTATCAAATTATTTTTAGAAGTGAAACAAAGGGGATAGTCTTAGCGGTAATTTCATGACAGCACTATACATTAAATCATCCAACGAAACAGCTGTAATAATGTGTGTAGTTTGCTTTTAAAAATTTTATCTAAATAGAGGGGACCTGTGAATGTTGTAAAATTTCCCACTGAATATACAAAACTTGAGAACAATTTTAAATGACTACATAAAAGTACAACAGACACATATATGTACATGCAACCAGAAAACTAAATGACCCTGGGGAAATATGGAACAAGTAAGTATCTAAGATATGAGTTTCCCAGAAACAGAGTCATAGACAGAGAACGAACTTATGATAACCATGCAGGAAGGCTAGTTAGGAAGTTTGGGATTAAAATGTACATGACTGCTATATTTTAAAAAAAAATATGAGTTTTTCATTTATACTAATATCAAGACATGCTAAGGGCCAGTGAGTTATAATTATAATGGTCTTAATTTCTCATAACACTAAAATATTATGAGTAACTCTCAACAGATACTAGAATTAAAGTTAATAAAAAAAAAAAAAAACTTTAAGAAACTGCAACAGGACATATGAAATAGTAATTTCTGTATGCACTCTGCTCTGCTGCCGAGGGTGCCCAAGACTGAGACAGAGACAGTCTGAATACCCAGCCACGAACATTCTCCTTCCCATGCCAGGAGAGTGTGATCAAATCTTCTAATAGTGCAGTTTGATACTGTAAAACCTTGGGTCATTCAGTACAGTGCCTGAATCTTGATGACATCAGTCTCTGAGCCTTCTTTGTTCCCGAAACGGACGGTGGTTATGTCCTACCACACCCTGTGACACCAAGTGAAAGGAGGTTCAGAAAGACGACAGAGGCAGAGTGCTGACTGAGAGAAAGCTCTTCTCCTGGTGCCCAGGGAAGCTAGCCTGTTTAACACCTTCCACAAGCAGGGAGGAAAAGGGGCAAGAACTCCAGAGACACCCAAGCCCACGGTATCCACATGGGAGCCTTGAACCTTGGCATAGCCTCTCTGGTGTCTGCACCACGATTTTATCATTACTCCTCTGGGAGACAAAAATGGGACCAGCAGATACTAGCAATTGCTATAACTGTGCTTTATTTAGGACCTTCTGAGGATCTGAAAACTGAAAATTGTGGATGTTCACACTGAAAAAAAGTAGAAACATGATCAATATGTGAAATTGCAGGCAACATTCAGAAAACTAAGATCATGGCATCTGGTCCTATCACCTCATGGGAAATAGATGGGGAGACAGTGGAAACAGTGTCAGACTTTATTTTTGGGGGCTCCAAAATCACTGCAGATGGTGACTGTCGCCATGAAATTAAAAGACGCTTACTCCTTGNAGCCTGGTGGGCTGCTGTCTCTGGGGTTGCACAGAGTTGGATACGACTGAAGCGACTTAGCAGCAGCAGCATAATATAGATAGTTCAGAGATCATTTTGGACTCCAGCCTAAATAAACTGCCCTGAAGATGGAGTGGGCAACAAACAACCAGTGTCTGTAATGGCAGGACTATGCGCATGTTGCCTAAGTTTTCATAATAAATGACAGTGTCATCACACATTACACAGTGCTTTCATATCCATCGGCAGTTCTCAAATGTTTTGGTCTTAGGACCGCTTTACATTCTTAGAAAAGTATCAAGGACCCCTAAAGAGCTTTTGTTTGTGCTGATTATGTCCATCAATACTTACTGTATTGGAAATTAAAACTAGTTCATTTAAAAATATTTATTAATTTACATGAAAATGACAATAATTAGCACATCACATGTTAATGTAAAGGAATTTTTATGAACAATTATTTTACTTTCTAAAAGAAAAGTCAGTGACTGCATTGTTTTCTATTTTTGTAAACCTCTCTGTTGTCTGGCTTAAGGTAGCTGGTATATGTTGTCCTTCATATTCAACCTGCTGCAATATCACATATCATGGAGCCAGCCACTGGAAATTCCACCATACGTATATGGAAGAATGAAAGTGAAAAAGGCCAATAATTTCTTATTATAAAAACAGTCCACCTCGTAAGGTCTTTGAACAGTCTCAAGGACCCCCCAGGGATCACAGGACCACACTTTGAGAAATACTGATATCAGATTTCATTTGATCCCAACAATCAATCTTTGAGACATGCAAAGTAGGTATTACCTGGTTCCCACTTCTGATGAGCACATTCAATGGCTTTTCCAAGTTTACAAAGGTAATGAGTGGCAGAGTGAGGATCAACAATTCTATACTGTAAATACCTACTGCAAATAGAAATGTTTGATTCCCTTTACTTTTTGAGAGAAAACAAGTATTCCCCAACATTTTGCACGTTACCATGAGAAGATCAGTAAGCATTCACTTACTTAAGAGCCTTGGTCTTGTGTGTTATGTATCAGCAAAGATTGAATGAGGACTAAAACAATTCAATTAAAAAAAAAAACCACCAGGAAAGCAAGTATTTATGGTGTATAAATAATGAAATGACAGAGGGAGAAAATGAGAATCAATTAGGTTTGATGCTAATGTATCCCACTATTCCTTTCCTCTTTCCTTTGATCAGATTGTCTTAAATTATTTTGTTCTACTAAGGTCATGGACTTCCCTGTAGCTCAGCTGGTAAAGAATCTGCCTGCAATGCAAGAGACATGGGTTTGATCTCTTGGTCAGGAAGATCCCCTACAAAAGGAAATGGCAACCCACTCCAGTATTCTTGCCTGGAGAATTCCATGGACAGAGGAGCCTGGTGAGGTCCTCTGGGGTCCATGGGGTCAAGAAGAGTCGGACACAATTGACTGACTAACATTACTACTAAGGTCATGGAAGAGAGGTCTAAGAACTGTAACCAAAACATCGTCATGCATATTCTGATTCTTTAAATATTAATCCCACAAAACTAATATCCAACATCCATAATCTCTATGTACATCAACGGTGGTTCAAGTTATGAAGATTGCCTAGCCAAGTCATTCTCCTTTAACTCTGAACCAAAAATACCCACTTTTGAAAAGATCACAGTGATTGAGTGTGTGTAGAGACTTGTCCCATCAGGGTGAAATATAGTTGGAAAAATGCCTAATTGGATCTGACTACTGAAGGTCATCCTTTTATAAAGAATTAATCTTTTCAGACTCATACTTAACACCTTTAATTGAAAGTACATTTACTTTAATTGATATGGCACAGGATACTCCTAATTTCAGGGGAGCTGAAAATAGGTATGATTTAAGGCCAGAAACTATGCAACTTTCCAGGGCAAACGTTAATAACTTGAGAGTTTCAAGACCCAGGTGACCTCTGATAACTTAAAAACTCTTTCAATCTTAAAAACAAAACAAAACAAAGAACAAACTCTTAAATTGGTTAAGGCACAACACCTCTGCATCACAAACACAATACCTACAGGGCCCAGGCAGGAAATTTCTTTTTTAAAATAGGTGATAGCATGGTTTAAAAATCAAAAAGTACAGTATAGTATGGGCATCCCTGGAGGCTCAGATAGTAAAGAAACTGCCTGCAATGAAGGAGACCTGGGTTCAATCCCCAGGTCAGGAAGACCCCTGGAGAAGGGAATGGCTACCACTTCGGGATTCTGGCCTGGAGAACTCCATGGATAGAGGAGCCTGGTGGGCTATAGTCCATGGGGTCGCAAAGAGTCAGCTACAACTGAGTGACTAAGCAACAGGCAGGTTCAGTGGGTATTCTGTGAAATCTAGCCCTCTCAACTCCCTTTGCTCATCTGTCTGCCCCCTCACTGAGGCAACCATGCTATAGGCTTTTTGTGTATGCTTTGTGAGATGTTTTACATATGCACGAGCAAATACACAGCGTTCTCACTGGCCTATTTAATACAGTGGGAGATGACAATTGCATTCTATATCCACTGTTCTGCATCTTGCCTTTTATTTAACTTAATAATATACCTTGGAATTTCTTCATATCGGTTCACAGAGAGCTTTCTCATTCTTTTCTGTTTGTTTATAGCTACACAGTATTCAATTGTATGCTCTATCCTTTAACCAGTACCCATTCTATGAGTAGATTGTTTCCAGTCTTTCACTTTACGAACAACGCTTCAATGAATAACCTTGTTCTTAGGTCCCTTGGCAAATATGTGAGTATAAAAATAAATTTTCTGGAAGCAAATTGCTTGGTCAAAGGATATATGCATTCACATTTGATTTGCCTGATACTGTCAAATTCCTCTTCATTTATGTTGCATCAATTTGTACACTCAGAAGCAATTTGAAAGCACCATTGCAGGCACTTTAAAGTGAGTATGGCAGGAAGTGTATTAAAAAAAACAACAACCAAAAAACAGGGAGATGCAGGGACTCTGCCAGCTGAAAAACATATTCCCCACTGAAAGGGGGAAACCACTCCTCAGCACAAGCTGTCTAGGGTCAAGTAGGATTGGGGCTTAATTTTGTTAAATATTATTTTTCCACATCCATTCAAAGTGAGGAGTTCTAAGATACAGGTTGGTAAGTATAGGAGTTTTCTTTTTGCTCTTTCAATTCATCTGCAAGGGACATAGTGAACACTTGAACTGAGGCAGCTGGCTAACAGGGTGGTGATGACAGATGGGAGTGAACACATACCCCTCCTGATGAGGGAGATGCAGGA